GAACAAACATATCCTACAGAGACCACCCCAGGCCATTTAATCTGTCCTCGCTGCATAGACAACAGAAGGCAGATGGTCCTGTTGGAGCGCCGAGAGAGAGAGAGAGATACAGAGAGAGAGAGAGAGGGAGAGAGAGAGAGAGAGAGAGAGAGACACGTACTCTCACACACACACATACGGACACACACACGACACTCAACCAGTCTGTGAAACTGTGGCTGCATCAACTTCTGTGATGAGACAGAAATATTGGTCAAAAAAAAATCCAGACAGAAAAAAAGTCAGGTGTTTTTTCAGTGACTGTTCAGTACAGATACAGTAACAGTAGAGGGCAGTGGAGGGCAGTGGAGGTAGAGTATGTAGGAGTTCCATGAACAAACAAGAGAATCATACAATATTAATCCCTGCAGTCGTTTCTAATGAGGGAATAAACAGCACTGCTGCTGAGACAGAGACCTTTGAAAATAAATCCAGTAGGTGGCACTGGTGCCTCCGTTAAACTTTTAACGTAAAGTAAAAAAAGTGAATTTTTTTTAAAAGGTTATTCATTCACTCATTCATAAGTTAGCCAAAAACAGTTAACATTAGCCAAACTAGCCATAGATTTTCCAGTTAATGAGTGAATGTTGACACGGAATTAGTTTAAAATTTAGCCAGTCGTTTAGTTACATTTTAACCAAAACTAGCTAAGCTAGTTAAGACAAAATGTTGACGGTAATTGGGTACTGAAAATTTAGCAGACCAGTCCAGTCTAGTCCAGTCCAGTCCAGTCCAGTCCAGTCCAGTCCAGTCCAGTCCAGTCCAGACTCTGTATTATTTACTGCCTACATATTTAATCAGCGTCTTCTTCTGGATAAAAAATAAAATAATAAATAAAACGTTATTCTTCTGTGTCAGGTTAGAACCTCGCTCCCTTTTCCTCTGTGTCTTTTTACCCTCCCCCTTTTCTCTCGCCCCCTCTTCTATCCCTCCACAATATCTGTCTTACCTCTCCCTCTTGCACCCCCACGGCTCCCCCTTCTCCCCTTCTCCCCCCCCTCAGTTAAAGCCTGGTTCTTTCTGGGCTCAGATAATGAGCCCCTGACTTTGTAGCTCATGTCTCACTGTTTGTCTCTTTTTGGAGTTTGGACTCCCCCTCTTCCCTCCTTCCCACCCCTGTCTCCCTCTCCTCCTCCCTAAAAAGAAGGCTCAGATGTACCTTCTGTAGCCCACGCCTCCGTCAGCAGCATCACCGTGATTTCCTCTGTGATCTCCAGCCCTGACATAACTCACCTTGTTAGAGGGAGAAACAGGGAGCGGTGTGTTTGTGGAACTTTGAACCCATGGATGTCTCTCTGAGGAGCAGTGAGGAGAACACAGACGCACAGCCTGACACCCACGTTCACACAATACAAGACAGGACGGATGAAGGAGTGATGGAGGGGGGAAAAAAAAGAAAAAATCAGATACGTAGCCTCCCTGCTGCTGCTGCTGCTGCTGCTGCTGCTGCTGCTGCTGCTGCTGCTGCCGGGCCTGGCCTGTATGAATGCTGAATGGATGTGCGTGTGTGTGTGTGTCACAGCGTCTCCAGGTGCTGTTTGTCTCCACATCAGTGAGGCGTCACTTCCTCTCTGTAATTGACTCCTAATAACTGTGATGAAAGAATATCTGAGCGCAGACCTTTGGGACTAAATATAGAAATGTAGAAACAGGAAGCCTGACTGACTCCAGAGTGAGCATACAACCAGTTTCTCACTTCTGAAAAGTAGAAGTGATTTATTCTTTAGCTCCTATTAGAGTCAGTGTCTGCGTCCAGGATATTTCTCTTCCTCATCATGAATTATTCTGTCTGAGTGTAAGAGAGAACGTTCAGCCTCCGCAGCACTTTAGTGTCTGTGTGAGAGCTGCGGGAGAAATTTAAATTTAAAGTGTCTGAGTGCAGATCTATCTGTCTGTGTGTGTGTGTGTGTGTCTTTGTCTATGTGTGTGTACGTTTACAGAGCCTCGGAGACTTGAAGACCAGGAAAGTCAAAGGGTGAGGAACCAGGAACCAGGACCCAGGAAGGCACCATGGCTCTGACGTCCCTGCCCTGGTACTGTGCAGCTCTGGTGCTGTTCTACAGTTCTCCCTGGCCTCAGGTTCACACGGCTGTAGCACCGGAAAATGAAGTTCCACTCCGACCCACCGTGTGGATACAAGAGGGAAAGGTGACATCTGTGAACCTGCACAAAGGACGAACTCGCAGGTAGGAAGACTGAGGAGAGGA